GCAAAGGTCATTATAGAGTTACGACGTACGGGAATGAGTTATCAGCTGTCTAATCGTAGACAACACAATGTCGAGCCTTAAACTGTAAGCCTGTATTGGTATTGTTTCTTTTATTTGGCTGTCGAACATTATTTATGGTTTGAAATATGATTTAATGTAAAATAATTGATATGAAAAAGCCGTCTCTTAAGTTATGACCCCATTTCACCACACGCAGGTGGCAGAAATGACAATGATCAGCTGACGCATTTTTCTTGGCCGAAGTCAGAGCGCGCGGCCCGACGCACCACCACCGCACCACAAAGTATGAGCAGAAGCCGCGCCCAAAGCCAGGGCCCCGGTAACGTGAGGTAGCCGAGTCGGGGCAGCGTGCGCTGACCCAAGCCGGGGCCGCAGCTTTGGGCGCGGTCTACCGCATCCCCGCGGGCAGCCCCGGGCTATCACATGACACCGGGAGGACGCGCGGCCCCGGCTTGGGTCAGCGCACGCTTCCCCGACTCGGCTACCTCACGTTACCGGGACCCTGGCTTTGGGCGCGGTCTACCGCACCACCTAACAGGCGTGTTCGAAACCGCAGGAGATGATGATGAACGGGTTTATCGAAACTTGATTGGATGAGCATATCGGTAATAGCGATTTCAGTGTGTGCATTTATTGTTCATAGTGGTGTGAAATGTGGTTGGGGTACGACCGACAACCCGTCGGGGCGAATTTCGCACTGGGGTACTCAAAATTTGAAGAATTTAAGACGTTTCCATGAGTTTTGAAGGTATGGATAAGTTCTAAAAATCTGGTTCTCCTTATCTGGGCCATTAACTCCATACGGTCCAGGAAAGCTGGCACACTACCTTTAAGAAATTCATGTATCATGGTCACGAAAAATTGCCCAGATTCAGTTCAAGATTTTGGAAAATGCGGAACGATAATCAATAATTGAAGATATCCATTTGATTGATCATGGTATTGGCAGTCTAATGGCGTTTACGGCATGTCTGTATGTTTATTCTGTGATTTTTTATGATTTTTTGAACATATGCCGTTTTTGGTCGAAAACTCAGAAATCATGACGTCACTAAAACCTCGATATCTCAAAAAAATTCGACCGATTTTTTTGAAACTTTGTCACAATAAACTTCAATCAATTCTCTACAGGTACCTAAAATTTGGCGCGCCTGCGGCGCGCCGTTTTTATGCTATGGCCCGGCAAAAAAAGTGGGGGCGTTTAACGCCCCCCCCCCCAGCAACTCGCGGGTTAAGGTCTACTGATGTAAGCGAAGAAAAATTATTGGCAATAGGGCAATATTTTGTTGGGTGGTTTCAGAAAGTAATGTTTTATGACAGCCTTTTCACCGCGATATGTTCAGACATGCACTTGCGAGTTGCGTGCTTCAGCAACTGCAAAAAAGGCATGGTCAGGTCTATCCTAATTTCTACACTCCTACATACAACTGGACATTCGCATATTTTACCCCGCCCCCCTCCCAAAAAATATCATCATGGTAAATATAAATTGAATAGCTCTATAACACAAATGTGAGCCATTTTGCCAATGTGCATTTCGCCCCAAGAAGGTAAGCTTTGTCGATAAATGAAAATTTCTTTTAACAACGATTAAATTTTTTCCACTTGCGCGTCAGCTGGATTGTCTCAATGTTGAACAGTTAAAGCCACACATGGCGAGCTGAGCGATATTCCGCATACAAATCTTATCATTGAGACATAGACCTCTGCTTATTGAGGTCTATGATTGAGACTTTGACAATGTCACTGATATTGACACAATCTTATTTGTTTCTAAATAGTATACCATGCAGATTTCAGGTGCTATCAGTCGAGGGGGGGGGGACGTGGGTAGGGTGGAACCACAATACCTTTAAATCCCACCCAATTTTTATGCTATCCCTTATTTAGTGCATGGAAAGAAATGAGCTCCCACCAAAGCCTAAATGTTAGCCGCCCCTTTAGCCCCGGTTGAAATAGCTAGCTTCCGCAAAAGGCGCTCATCACAACGCATGTTAGTCACGCGTTGCCTCTACCGCAGATTGCAGAACCCATTTATCCCCCCCCCCCCCCAATAAGGCCTTTCGCAAATAACTCGCGGCGGATAACAACAAAACTTTCAGTGCCCTCGCGTTCATCAATTTGACACCTACCCTGAAAATTGCATGACCCTGACATGCCCTGACCCAAATGACCTTTGACCAGTGACCTACTTTTCGAGACCATGTTTGGCCGGAATCGCGATTCGGCGTATGTCGGCTCGCATTAGCCGCGCGTTTGCAGTCTTTTCGTGGTTTCAAGCGTTCAAACATGTAATACGATGTTGGTCCCATGAATTAGGGCGGGTCACGGGTGTCAAGGTCATCTGAAGGTCAGGTCAGGTCATTGCATGCATTGCATGCAAGGCAACATCTGTGATCAAAACTAACGTGATATTCGTGATCAGCACCCCGAAAAGCCCCATAGCAGCCACACTTAACGACGTTCTAACAGGTCCTGATTTTCCCGACTTTTGAGTCATTGACCTGACCTCAGAGGTCACCATTTGACCTATGACCCTAAAACCGGGTTCCTTTGGCTTCGTCTCATGACGACCTACACGATGTTTTTTTCCGCCAGGCACTAGCTCAATTAGGGGCCAAACGCGAGAGAGAGGGGTCGTCCCAATCCCCTCCCCCCCCCCGTGCCGTCGAAAAACGCAAAATGGCCTGTGCCGGCGAGGGTCAAGTTTATCGCGCGACTGACCTCGCTAGAATTGCCTCCGTTCAATGTTAGTCACGTGTGTGACACCAATTTCAGGCCTGTGTTTTACCGTCCGTGACCCAACCGACTCACGAACAGCCCACAAACCTTTCTCGTGTGTCGGCGGTTTCCTGACCTAGGGCGCTCACCGTGATATCAAACCAGTCCCGTGTGTTGTGGTCGTTACTCGGTGGTGCCACTGTATCCAATTTATTTAGATAATTGAGACTGAAATTAAAATTTATTCATCCAAGTATAGTTTTTTTTCATAAACGCGAGAAACAAATAAAGCTTTTGCCCATATCTATTTGTAAGTTGGGAAAAGACTACGAAAAGAAAAGGAATAATAGATGTTTACACGAACGTAAGAACACGTTTATCTCGAAATAGGGTCAAGAAAACCTGCGCGTATTGGCGTTTCCACAGCCGCTAATGCATTGGTCATTTCGTCCATAATCAAAGTAGAGCTTTTAAATGTTCAAATGGGTGCTACATCCGTGAGTGGCTCGTACCTACCCTATAAAGTTGTTAACCCTCGCATGTGCAGGCGAGTCGGATGGACCCCTCCCCCCCCATGGTTTTTCGCAAACAACTCGCGAAAAAAGCGGCCGATCGCGACGAAACTTTCAGTACCCTCAGGTTGATTATTTTTACATCTACTCTAAAATTTAATGACCCTGACCCATGTGACCTTTGACCTGTGACCTATTTCTCGAGGCCATGTTTGGCCGAAATCGCGATTCGGCGTATGTCGGCTCACATTAGCCGCGCGTTTGCAAGCTTCTCGTGGTTTCAAACGTTCAGGCATGTGATTTGATGGTGCTCCCATGTATTTGGGTGGATGTCAAGGTCACCTAAAGGGCAGGTCAGGTCATTGACCTTTGGTGACCTCGGTACACTTTCTCGAGCTTTACTGCATGTTTCTAGGCTAGTTTTTTTTTAGCTGAATTCAAATTTAGAAACTATTTGAACATTCACGAATCAGTTTTGGTGCCTTCGTAACATCTTACGTAGCTGTCAGAGGCGGTTGACACGTACTACGAATACCCGTCACACCTCTACTGGTTGACCTGACCTGACCTGACCCGACATGGTCTAAATGCCTAGACATCATCGGTGATCAAAACTAACACGACATTCGTGGTCAGCACCCCGAAAAACCCATAGCGGCCACAGTTTACGACTTTCTAACAGGTCCCGATTTTCCCGACTTTTGGGTCATTGATCTGACCTGGAAGGTCAACCAATGACCTAGGACCTTAAAATTAGGTATCATCGGCTTCCTCTCGTCACGGGTAACACGCCCGTTTTTTTTTTTTCGAGAAGCTCTAGCTCGATCAGGGTCCAAACGGCAAGGGGGGTCCAACCGACCCCCCCCCCCCCCACCTACACATTATGTAGAAGCTGGCAAACGCCGCACACATGCGAGGGTTAAACTATCAGCCGAGGTCAGCTTAGGTCAATGACCTTGACCTGGACTTTACGCGACCCTGGCACCCACCATAATCCATTGGACAAACATCATAAGTGACTTGTTGGTTTGCTAATCACAGCGTCTGAAACGCACAGCACAGGATATGTGCGCTGACATCCATCATTTTAGCCCGATATATGCTATAGCCTGATATAGTCTGATATATGATATAGCCTGGTTGGCCTGGTATATGCAAGAGAAAAAGGTCGTGGGTCAAAGGTCAGTTAGGTCACATTAATGAAATTTGCAAGAACGGCGTAAAACTAAATAGCTCGGGGGTACTGTAATTTTTCAGTGTGAAACACCATTTTATACACGACATATTTGGAGTTCCTACATATTTCCTAAGAATTTTGACATTTTTCGCATGGTGGCTTTAGAAATGGCATTGGCAAATGATTAGAGGGTTCAGGCTAGGCTTATTTCATCCACTTGGGTCGGCTAATGTACGGGTTGGGGAGGCCATTTTACCCCATCGACCAATTTAATCCATTCTCTCCATGCATTTTTCGAATTATTCTTACGTCTGCTTCACTGCCTTAGTAGGTAATGCCCGTTAAATTCCTGTCAGTAACTGTTCACTCAATAAAACTCGCCAAAGTTAACATTACCCGAGATCTCCCCTCTCTCTCTCTCTCTCTCTCTCTCTCTTTCTCTCTCCCTCTCTTTCTCTCTCTCTCTTCCCCTCTATCCCTCTCACTCTCTCTCTCTCTCTCTCTCTCTCTCTCTCTCTCTCTCTCTCTCCCTCCCTCTCTCTCTCTCTCTCTATTTTCCCGTTTCTCACCTGGGCACGACTCCACCTCTCTCTCTCTCCTCATGTACACACCACTCTCTCCCGCTCCGGGCGACCCCTCTGCCCCGGGGCACCCGAACAGAAGACACGTGCCGTTATCCAAGTAGGCGAACTCAATGCAGCGTGAAGGCATCGAGGTAGAGCAAGCGACAGAGCAGGTCAGGAGAGAGGGTGTGAGTGAGGAGGTCACCAGGTGACCAGAGGCGGGGCCGCTCTGCAGGAGGAAAGAGGCAGTCTCAGATAGAACTAGGTGGATGGAGAGAGCGGCGAAGGAGAGGAGAGGGAGGGATAGTGACAGGAACAGGGGCATGGGTAGGAAAAATGGGATGGGTGGAGCTGAAAATAAGGACACAGTCATTCGTTGGATGCAAATCCGGTATAGGTACTGGTGATCGATGAATCTTCTTATGAGATAGCTTGCGTCAAAGTCATCGGATTTTCTTGTGGAATGGATTATCTGAAACAAAAAGGCATGCTTCAGGAGGCTGTTCTCATATGGTGTACTCGACAGGTCAGAAGTTCAATGAAGAAATTAATGGGGGGACTAATCTCACTTGATTCTGTGTTGAGAAATTTACAGAGTAATGTTTCAGTGCCGTGTCAGAACTACCGACTGACACAGGCTGACATGTCTGACTGATGCAGCTGAGCTGACACCGCCTGACACCGTCTGAGTGACACCGCCTGACACTGACACTAACACCGCCAGCTGACACAGCAGTGAGCAGGTCAGGTCACCAGCTCTGACCCCAAAGTGACAACCGTGCTGTCCGAGCCGCCGCCGCCGCTTTGAGCCCGTTGTCATGGTAACGCCATTTGCGACACCCAGCTGAACAGAACATGACATAAAAACACGACACTGTAATTATGACCATGACATGAAGGTGCTGACCACAGCGTGCGTCCACGAAATGAACTGTCTGCGACATGATATTTCTGACAGGAATACGATTTACAGGTCACAGCGCAATGTACACACTTCGCATGCCATGCACGCTGTACTCATTGGCACCGGTAATTATAAATTAGGTACATTTAGTGTTATGTTGGCCGCGGCTTGTACGCTTTATGGATGAATACGAAGTCCTATTTGTAGACCTGTGTTGATTGGGGCGAAGTTTCGATTGATGAGATTCTACTGGTAAATGGAACGGGCCAATGAAGGCTCTGTCAGCGATCTTTTCAATAATCGGGCTACCGCAATCGCATACACGACGCCTGAACAGAGTTACTTTTTATTATCAATGGATGCATATCCTCTTGATGGTGTTCCAGTGCCGATGCAAGGCGATTGTAAGTTGTTCCAGCACCTAATGGTGCCGCTCACTATAGTGAGCATAGCTATAGCTATGTATTATCATTATGTATGCAGCGTGCAATGGAATGCACAATGACTTTGTATGTCATATTCAGACTGACAGGCGGATTAGATACATACCCTTTTATATCACAAGGATGACATTTTCGGGAGGGTCTCCAGTCTTCGATATTTAAAGGTAGTGTGCCAGCTTTCTTGGACCATATGGAGTTAATGACCCGGATAAGGAGAACCGGATTTTTAGAACTTATCCATACCTTCAAAACTTATGGAAACGTCTTAAATTCTTCAAATTTTGAGTACCCCAGTGCGAAATTCGCCCCGACGGGTTGTCGGTCGTACCCCAACCACATTTCACACCACTATGAACAATAAATGCACACACTAAAATCGCTATTACCGATAGGCTCATCCAATCAAGTTTCGATAAACCCGTTCATCATCATCTCCTGCGGTTTCGAACACGCCTGTTAGGTGGCTTCTCATGCTCGTCGAGGTCGGAATTTCCAAATACGCGTGGTGCGCCGGGCCACGCGCTCTGACTTCGGCCAAGAAAAATGCGTCAGCTGATCATTGTCATTTCTGCCACTTGCGTGTGGTGTAATGGGGTCATAACTTAAGAGACGCTGTTTCATATCAATTATTTTACATAAAATCATATTTCAAACCACAAATTAATGTTCGACAGCCAAATTTAAGAAACAATACCAATACAGGCTTACAGTTTAAGGCTCGACATTTGTGTTGTCTACGATTAGACAGCTGATAACTCATTCCCGTACGTCGTATGGTCGTAACACTATAATGACCTTTGCTTATTGTCACAAGTGCGCCGCATTCGCGATTGTTGCCCGACGCCTGTTTGCAGGTGAGCCCACTACAGTTGTTATACATATCTAAAAACCGATAAACTTTTAGGCGAAAAAGGCACTATTCCAGGCCCATTTTTGATTTTTTTTTGCGATATTAGGTAAAAACAGAAGCTTCTTATCCTAGGAAAAATAAAACGGGAAATCTTTCAAAGGTGGCACACTACCTTTAAGTTGGCCGCGGCTTGTACGCTTTATGGATGAATACGAAGTCCTATTTGTAGACCTGTGTTGATTGGGGCGAAGTTTCGATTGATGAGATTCTACTGGTAAATGGAACGGGCCAATGAAGGCTCTGTCAGCGATCTTTTCAATAATCGGGCTACCGCAATCGCATACACGACGCCTGAACAGAGTTACTTTTTATTATCAATGGATGCATATCCTCTTGATGGTGTTCCAGTGCCGATGCAAGGCGATTGTAAGTTGTTCCAGCACCTAATGGTGCCGCTCACTATAGTGAGCATAGCTCAGTGCTGCCAGATGGGGAAGGCTGTAATCCTCTATATCAGTTACAAAAATCCTCCAGATTCCTCCAAATCCTATTGGTAGATATAGAAAGGCGGTCTTGGACGCTGCGGGGGGCTATACCCCCAAAAAAGTTTCACCAAATACTAAAAACCCATCGGATTTCGAATCTTTTCGCACTGCTGTGCAGTTTAAAAGATACTTTTTCTTATAAAAGTTGTTGAGTTTTCGTTTTATCTTAAAAAAACGAAAATTTTCGTCGATTTCAGGCGCTGCAGGGGGGCCGGGGGCATTTGCCCCAAATGTCCCCCTTAGATCCGCCAGTAGTTTGGTACCCTCGTAAATATAGCTACAGACTGAGACATTCTGCAGTCTCACGGTGATAAAGGACGTGATATATCCTAACGGGTAGGGTGACGCTGGGCAGGAAAATGACTTTTTAGTCTTGAATGTGTTATATTTTTCCATGAAATTGAATATAATAATCGGGCGACAAATCCTCCAGATTTTCCTCCAGAATCAAAAATCCTCCAAAAGCGAAATTTGTCCGCAAATAGAGTTCAAAATCCTCCAGATTTGCGGAAATCCTCCAAATCTGGCAGCACTGGCATAGCTATAGCTATGTATTATCATTATGTATGCAGCGTGCAATGGAATGCACAATGACTTTGTATGTCATATTCAGACTGACAGGCGGATTAGATACATACCCTTTTATATCACAAGGATGACATTTTCGGGAGGGTCTCCAGTCTTCGATATACCGGAGTTACTACGAGCGAGCGCAAAGAGCGAAACAGTTTTTAAGAAATTGAGCTCCAAAGCCATTCAATTCGTGTCCTTCAAAAGAAGTGTTTTGTAAAATTATCGATATTTTTTTTTGGGCTCAATTGCTAGCTCCATTCATCGTGTGTTGCATGAGGATAGTCATCATTCGGGGACCAGTAGTTGAAAGCAAAAAAAAAAAAAAAAACGAGGAGGAAACGGTCTTGTAAAAAGTTGCAGCGATTGCATTGAGCATTAAATGACAAAAATATGTATACCGGGACAAAAACCGATCGATACAAATGGCTCTGGGAGGGGGGGAGTAGAGTGGCAAGTTTCCTTACCCGACGAACCCGGAATTATCCCGAGGGGGTAGGGGTGGGAGTAGAGTCGGGGGAACGGGGTGGGGACCGGGAGTTCCTAAATAAACAGTCCGTTAGGCGGCACGGGCGGACATCGATAGCAGCGCCTCTATCGGTCACTAGGGAAAGCTGGGCTGTAGGCGACGAAATACCGGCTGAGTTGTCACACGTTGAATAGGTTTATAGCCATCCGTCTTGTGAAAAAGTTGAACTTTTGCCTTTAATATTTCTACAGGCAATTTTGGAAGTGTCTTCACATGGCTTACAAAACCGTTTAGATTATTGTATTCACTTCAAGCCTTCCCTATTGTTCTTGATGATGCGGGAACTATTTCTAATTAGTGTTTCTAGCTTAGTTAAAGAACATACTGTGCAAACGATGAAAAAAACATAAGTGGAAGATTTTAAATGCAATTTTCTCTAACAATTAATGGTAAATTCTCTACATATCAAGGAAAAGGTGCATGCTAACTGATAATTTAAAGTTCTTGGGGCCAGTTGTTTTCTTCTTTTCTTGCGTCGCCCCAATGGCCGCGAATACACTTGTGATAACGCCTATCGCGAATTATTTTTGCCTCTAGTGGCGTCAACTAACAAAATCACAACAATCAAATTGCACGTGATGATAGCACGTGCAATGCCATTTTATTTCATACCAAAATCAATCACTTTCTATCATGCAGCCGTATAGTACAGACATAAAAACAAAAATAGTACATTTCTATTTTGAGACAAAGTCAATCGTCGCAACACAACGCAAGCTACGCCGACACTTAAAAAGGACCCAAGTGCCATCAAGAACCGTCATTTTAAGTATAGTTGAGAAGTTTTTGGCAAGAGGTAGTGTGGAGAACGTAAAAAAGGGTAAATGTGGCCGAAAAAGAACCAAGAGGACGCCTCTAAACGCCCAAAAGGCACGAGAAGCTCTCCAGAGGAGCCCACAAAAGTCGCTCAGACGGCTGGGCCAGGAACTGGGCTGTAGCAAAACCACCGCTCACCGTTTGGCCAGAAACGACGTTCAGCTGTTCCCGTATAAGGTCTCCGTTCACCAAGCACTGTCGAAAGTCGACAAACAGTCACGGCTTCTTTACAGCGGCTGGTTTTTGAGAAATTGCGAGCAAAACAATGAGTTCCTTCACCGAATCTGGTTCAGCGACGACTGAGGCCCATTTTCATATGGATGGCCGCGTGAACTCCCAGAATTTTCGATTCTGGTCGACGGAGCCACCCGATTTGGTCGCGGAAGCCCCTCTGCACAGTGTGAAATGCACAGCCTGGTGTGCAATGAGCAGCAGTGGCATAATCGGACCTTTCTGGTTTGAGAACGACGCTGGGGAGTCTGTCACCGTCAACGCTCAGCGCTACCGGCAAGTCCTAGCCAAGTTCTGGACTGCGCTGAACAGGCGGCTGGGTGGAGACAGGAAGCTGATGGACCAACAATGGTTCCAACAAGACGGAGCCTCGGCGCACACGGCCGTTGCGACTCGAGAATGGCTGCGGAACCGATTCGGTTCGCGGGTTATCTCCCGCAGAGAGGTGCGGACCTGGCCCCCGCACTCTCCGGATCTGACCCCACTTGACTTCTTTCTCTGGGGTCACCTGAAGTCACAGGTCTACAAAAGCAACCCCAGAACCACAGATGACCTCAAGAGGGCCGTGTCGTCCGCGGTGCGCCGAGTGC